AGAGTGGGTAGAGGCGATCAGGCAGGCAGGCAGGCAGGTGAGCAGTTAGGAGCCAGCACTCCCGGATTGCAAGGGGCAGTTGGGAGCAAGATCAGGGATCGGGCCTAAACCAGCAGTCAGACATCCCCCGAAGGGTCCCATATTGGAGAGGGTGCAGGTTGGGCTGAGACACACACACACACACACACACACACACACACACACACACCCTGCAAGTGCATGAATTTTGTGCACTGGGCCTCCAGTTAAGAAAAAAACACTTTCAGAGTGCTTGACTAATTTCCCTTGTGATGAAGTATTTACAACTATACCTTTAACGTCACACGCTCTTCGAACTCGAGAGAAAGCAACATATAACTGACCATATCTGAATACAGGTTCAGGCAGGAATATTCCTACTCTACCTAGAACTTATCCTTGTGATTTATTAACAGTCATCACAAATGCTGGCATCACGGGAAACTATCTTCGAATTAATTTAAAAGGGAGACCAGTGTCAGACAGGGACAAATCAATTCTTGGAATCAGAACAACCTCTCCTATTGCAGAGCCTGTTAATACTTCAACTTTGATTATATTAGTTCGCAATCTTTTGATAATAAATGTAGTGCCATTACAAAGACCCCATTTACTATTAAGATTTTCAGTAGCTTAATGATTGCACCTACTTTCAATTTTATGACATGGCATTCCCAAAGGAGTAATTCTATTAAGAAACTCAGTGGGAAAATTTTCCTTTTTGGCATCATCCATTGAATCGATGGAATCATCACTCAAATAGGTGTGAAATCTCCATTGAGTATATCCAAAATTTCTTTAATTTATGAATGTGCTCATTTTTAGGACAAAGAATCACACATTTAGGTATATTTTTAATATCTATAGATATACTATTTCCAAAGGTATCTTCAATAATAGATCCGTTATAAATCATTTCACAGGGAATTTTAATAATATCTATTCTGAGGGCTTTATATGTTTCACGCAGCACGAGTCAATGTTTATTCTCAAAATGCCACTGCATGTCATATGTACAGCTGGTTGGACGGACTGATGGCTAGTCACTTAGCCTTTTATATATATAGATCACACGTGTTTGTGGAAGTGATATAATGAAATCCTAATAAAGAAGACAATACAGTTATAATTACTTTGTTTAGACAGACTCTCAATGCAAAGTACTTGAGAGTTTTTTAATAGATTTTTTTTAATTTACACCAGAAATACACATCATTAAAGAAAAACGAGAAGACGTAGCTAAACAAAAGGAGGAAAAAATTTTAAATCACTATTAATACTTTCTTGTTTACCTTTCTAGACTTTGTTCTACACACATAGACACACAAAAAACACACATGAATTTATTTAACAAGCCCTAATAGTTTTTAATACTTGCTAGGCACTATTCTAATCCCTTTATAAATAATAACCCAGTTAGCCTTTTAAGCCATTTAATCCTCATAATGTCCCTAAAAGCTGGATATCATTAGTAATCCCATTTTATAGATACTAAAGCCAATACTTCACAGTAAGAGCAGACTCAGATTTGAACCCAGCCAGCTAATATTTGAATTCAGAATCCATAGCAATCTTGCTGGGATATTCTATGGTAATAAAATATCTGTGCCTTTTGAAGTTCTACACAGAAACATGCATTTTTTTCACTCGTACTATATCTATCTACCTAAGTTAGCCTTACTCGACTCTACATGCTCTTCACACCTGACTGAACAGCCCCTATCAGGAACATAGCTGGTCTCACGGCAGAGGAAAAACAGCACAGCAAACTTCCAGCTAGTAGAGATTCTGCTCAGATATGATGCACTTCACTTCCCTTGTTTTGTTGACAAATTACATGCCCGCCCCTCCCCCACCCCAAGTATAACGATAGGATGCATAACATTGGTAGAAAAGGGGATGCAGATAATTACAAAAAAAATAATAAAATATGCCACCAACAATGTAGTTAGAAATGAAAGAGAGAAAAAAAGGATGAAGAAGGCAGAAAGAAAAGGCCACTGCCTCTTCCAATTTAGAAATAGAGACTCTGAATGCCAGTGCCCTCCTGGAGGGCATTTTATCAGATCTATCAAAGCATTTCCTGCCATTCTTACAACTTTTGTGGTGTGCAGGGTGGGACAGAAGTAGTTGATAGTA